ACTCTCTCCATCAAGTATATAACCGAGTTTAACCTTGAAAAGCCCCAAGACAACATAACTTTTCACCTTGGAGGACAGGCAAGACAGATGAGCATCACTGAGTTCATAGAGGCCCTCCAAATATACCCACCAGGATTTCTCACCACAGATGGACATGGTTTGATTTCAGAGAAAATATATCCACCAAGAGTACCATTGGTCCATATTGTGTGGAAAAAGCTGAAACAAAGCCATGTGGAAAAGTCTAACCCTTCCCACTATAAAGGGAATGATCTTCTTCCCCCATGGCGTATCATCCACAACATTATCGCTCGCTCTGTGGCATCTAGGGAGGGGAGTCCGGGGAGTGTGACCAAGCGGGATTTTGAACTTTTTCCTCTCTATGGTAAAAGATCCCCCAATTCATCTTGGTTTAGTCATATTGAAAACCCTACAGAAGATGAACTCCAACAAACAAATCAAGACCATCCATGGAGTTGCCTACAAACCAAGGCTAGCTCGCCATTTTGGCATCGATCCGGTGGGTGCTCATTGCACCATTGCCCAGACCACTCAACCAATCTCCCAAAAAAACCTTGCGGGCCTAGATTTGGTGTCAAAGGTAAAGGTTCCAACCAACACTTTCCTTTTCACAGTGAATGCTACAACAGAACTAGTTGGGATTCTAACAACTAGGATTGATGTTGTGCAAGTTTTGGATTGCCTACTAGTCTAGTTCCTTTTGAACATTGACCAAATGTAACTAATGCTTCTGATATTGATCATGTCTGTGTTTGGTGGTTAAGGAGAATGGTGTGCTAGGCAGTATTGGTCTCCCCCATCCTGCTCCTCCTCTTCCAACAGACGAGGCAAACGCATCGGAGCATGTTGTTGAGCAAATGGTCGAGGAGACTCCGCAACATCCTGCACAACCTCACCAAACTACGACTCAAGCTGGACCATCCACCAAAACATACTTATCCCATTTGGAGGCATTGGGTCGGCAGAATGCCCAAATTCTAGAGCAAAATGCACTCATTCTCTCCTGCCTCGACCGAGAGAAGGAAGCTCAACGCTACATCATCAAATGCAACATCACATCATGAGGTCCTTGAGGATTGACTACAAAAAAAGTCCCAAGACCTTGGGAACTATCTCCTAAGTCAACCGAGGAAAGCAATGAAGAGGGAAGTGAAGAGGATGACGAGGGCAATGACGATGATCAAAACAAAGAAAGCAGTGAAGAGGACAATGGCACCAACGAGGAAGAGGGCAGTGAAGAGGATGACGAGGGAAATGATGATGACCAAAACAAGGAAAGAAATCAAGAGGACAAAGGGACCTATGAGGAAGAGGGCAGTGAAGAGGACGATGAGGGCAATGACGATGACCAAAATAAAGAAAGCAGTGAAGAGGACAATGGCCTCAACGAGGAAGAGGGAAGTGAAGAGGATAACGAGGGAAATGACGATGACCAACAAGGAAATAAATAAAGAGGACAAAGGGACCAATGATGAAGAGGGCATTGAAGAGGACAACAAGGGCAATGACGATGACCAAAACAAGGAAAGCAATCAAGAGGACAAAGAGACCAATGAGGAAGAGGGCAGTGACTCTAGAGAGGTCAATGAAGATGAGCAAATACAGGAAAACAATGACGAGGACGAGAGCACTAACGAGGAAGAGGGGCAGTGAAGATGAGCCAACCAAAGTCCTTAGTACTTAGCTATGTGTTTTTGCGTTTGTGCTTGTATGTTTTCCAATTAGAACATGATGATGCACCGGTGTGGGCTACATGCAGCTAAACTTAAGCATTAATTAGACAGATTTAATCGTGTTATGGATGCTTATTTTATTAGACAAATGTAATGCTTTGTCTGCTTTTTACTTTTTTTGTTAACAAGGTAATCCATCTAATATGATGTACTGTTACTAGATCTGTTCCTACTTGACATTCCTCAGGCAAATCTCACGGTCGTGAAATGTCCTGTGAGATGCAAAGAGCAGTTCTCACTATCCCAGGAAATTTCACGGCTTCTACTTGACATTCTCACGTCCGTCAAAATCTCACGTGAAATTGAAACACACAGCTGCCACTCAAACGTTCTCACAACTCATTCTGGCAAAATAACGATTGTGGAATTAAGATGTACCCACACTTTCTAGAGTTGTACTTTTACACTATGGTACAACTTAAAGTTATGGTACAACTTAAAGTTGTACCTACACTTTCCCAAAAATTCCTCTATGGTACAACTTAAAGTTGTACCTACACTTTCTAACAAATCCCTCTATGGTACAACTCAAAATTGTACCTATACTTATGGTACAACCTTAAGTTGTACCTACACTTTCTAAAAATCCTTCTATAGTACAACCCAAACTTATACCTATACTAGTGGTACAACTTTAACTTGTACCTACACTTTTTAACCAATCCCTCTACGGTACAACTAAAAATTGTACCTACACTTGTGGTACAACCTTATGTTGTACCTACATTTTCTAAAACTCCTTATATGGTACAACCTTATGTTGTACCTACCTTTTCTAAAACTCCTTATATGGTACAACCCAAAATTGTACCTATACTTGTTGTACAACTTTATGTCGTACCTACACTTTTTAACAAATCCCTCTATGGTACAACTCAAAATTGTACCTATACTTGTGGTACAACCTTATGTTGTACCTACACTTTCTAAAAATCCTTCTATGGTACAACCTAAAATTGTACCTATATATGTGGTACAACTTTAAGTTGTACCTACACTTTCTAACAAATCCCTTTATGTACAACTCAAGATTGTACCTATACTTATGGTACAAGCTTAAGTTGTACCTACACTTTCTAAATATCCTTTTATGGTACAACCCAAACTTGTACCTATACTGTGGTACAATTTTATGTTGTACCTACACTTTTTAACAAATCCCTTTATGATACAACTCAAAATTGTACCTATACTTGTGGTACAACCTTATGTCGTACCTAAACTTTCTAAAAATCCTTCTATGGTACAGCCCGAACTTGTACTTATACTTGTGGTATAACTTTCAGTTGTACCTACACTTTTTAACAAATCCCTCTATGGTAAAACTCAAAATTGTACCTATACTTGTGGTACAACCTTATGTTGTACCTACACTTTCTAAAAATCCTTCTATGATACAGCCCAAACTTGTACCTATACTTGCGGTACAACTTTCAGTTATGCCTACACTTTTTAACAAATCCCTCTATGGTACAACAAGAAAATGTACCTATACTTGTGGTACAACCTTATGTTGTACCTATACTTTCTAAAAATCCTTATATGGTACAACAAAAACTTGTACCTATACTGTGGTACAACTTTAAGTTGTACCTAAACTTTTTAACAAATCCCTTTTGTGGTACAACTCAAAATTGTACCTATATTTATGGTACAACCTTATGTTGTACCTACACTTTCTAAAAATCCTTCTATGGTACAATCCTAACTTGTACCTATACAAATGGTACAACCTGAAGTTGTACCTACACATTCTCAAAATCCTTCTATGGGTACAACCCAAACTTGTACCTATACCATGGTATAACTTTATGTTGTACCTACACTTTCTCACAAATCCCTCTATGGTACAACTCAAAATTGTACATATACCTATGGTACAACTTTATGTTGTACCTACACTTTCTCACAAATCCCCTATGGTACAACTCAAAATTGTACCTACACTTTGTGAAACAATTTCTTCAATGGCACAACTGAAACTTGTACCTATATGATATGGTACAACTGTAATTTGTACCTACATTTGCATACATTGATTCATTATTTACAAGATTGGCATTAATGATGTGGGACTAGTCATTTAGTGGGTTTACCTCCCCAATAGGTCACCTTTCTTGATGTCTTCTCAAAGTCAGAATCTAATAATATTCCTCCCTTGACTAGTCTTAATAGTACTCCCTAAGAAAACCATGTAAATTTTGTACACGTTTGATTGTGCTTCGGTTTACATGGTAATATCGAACAATTCAAATATGCATTTCAAAGAGAAAGAATTTAAAGTTAAAATTTTTATCTTATAAAATCAAGCAACAAACTCGAACTTGTAATATAAATTATGTCATTACAGATATCGTTACAACAGAGACAAAAACATATGAGGTAACGTATGTATAAATACAAGTAATTTAAACAAACATTATTTATAAGTTAGAGAAAATAAGTCGTGAATAGGAATGGGTCAAGGCGAAAGGAATATGCTTGCCCCGCATCTATCCATGAGTCGGGGTCCCGCCAAATTAACAAAATATTTTTGGACTTTGACGTTTTCTTTCCCCTCCGGCCACGCCATAGCGGCTCTGTTATTTCTGCTCCCGAACTTCTCCATTCCTCACGAAGCTCATTCAAACCTCTCCAATGGCAGCCACTGCAGCTCCTCTCCGTGTGCCTGAACGTCTGGTAACATCTCGATACCACTTCATATGCTCCGAGTGGTAGGCTAAAGCCTCCTTACTGTATGGCATCCTTGCTATGAACTCATGTCGACGGCTCCACAAATCAAGCGACTCTCTGGAGGCGTGTACCAACTGCTGCCCACGCGATGGCCCACGATGAGGTTGGCGAAGGAAAACCTAACCTCAGCCTCACTATGTGGCTGATGAGGATCATCCTGCCTCATGCCAAACTGGCAGAGCACGCGGTCTGGATGGTGCTACATCATCTCTGATTGAATCACACTACCTCTGAGATGTTGTGCTCTCTCAACGTAAGGTTGCCATCACACACAAAAAGTGGTCACATGATTACTCCTAAATTTAAAACAAACCAATGAAAACTATTCTACTAAATGAAATGTTATATACTGACCACCATGGTCTCCATCTCGTCAAACCACAACTTGTACTGGAAGAACTGGTTACCGTACTGACGAGTGTTAACCGGAAGCCATCGAACACCACATGGGAAGGCGTCCTCGGTAATCTACGCCCTTGTCTCTTTATGTCACGGTGTCAAATGTGGAAATCGCTACCACGCCCAGAGCTGCAGTGAGGGGACGCATCCACCAAGGTCACCTCCTAGGGAAGAGGAATGCGTAATGCGCAAAACTGGTCTACCCATCTCATGGTACAGGTAGGCTAAAACAGCTGCTCGCCAGGAGAATCGTCCAGCTCTCTGCCAATCCTCCACCAGGTACTGTAGATGCACCGTAGCTCTTGATCGATCCGGGAACAGTACAACTCTCATCAGAGATAGAGCATAAGCTCGTGCAAACTGCTCTGTAGTCTCCCTTGATGCATTTACCGACAGATGATTGAATTCATCTCTGAGCCAACCAATCCTAATGACACCGCCGGAAAGATCTCTGACCACTACTCATCTGGTATGTCTACTATGTTGGCATCACCATCAATCGCTAGACCGGTCAGTGTCACAACGTCCTCTAAAGTGATCGTCACCTCACCAAATGGCCAGTGGAAGGTCGACGTCTCGGGTCGCCAACGCTCTACGAGCACAGTAATCAAACTTGCATTAGCATTCTTAGGGACCAGGGGCAGAATACTAGACAAGCCTGCCTCTCCGAGATACGTCAGATAATGATCATGGTACGTGACTACATTGGTCGTACCTCGAATATGATAAGATCGATCACTAGTCTATCGTGCACAAAACTTATATTAATTCAATTTCATGTGTAATTCTAATTTCACCTAGTAAAATCTATCTAATCTAAAAATCTATCTAATCTAAATTTATACTAATTTAAAAAAAAAAATCATACATAATTATGTTCTAATTTCAGTTCACATAGTAAAAATCTATAATAGTCTAATCTAACAAGCTAATGAACTTTAAATAAGTAGTTGTTATGAGAGACTTACCTCGTTTGCCCAAACTGAGTCGACACGATGTAGACCATATCCCCAAAGAAGTACCGAATCGAATGGACCTGGAACAATTATCGTAGGCGGTGGTCTCATGGAATAACTATCCATAAGTCTGGGAACTGGAAAAAAAACCCAAAACATAAAAACTAAATTACAAAAAAAGCCGCCGACGAGATCCTCACCACGATACCGGCCACCGCCGCCACGACCTCGCCGTCCTATCCCCCTTCCCCTGCGGACGACTGCTTCTTCGTTGTCGGACATCTTCTCCCCAAATCAGAAAAACCAACCAAATCTGTTGGGAGGAGTGAGGGAAGAAGAAAGGGGATCCAGCGAGTCTAGCTGCTTGAGGCAGTGGTGAAACCACCTTTCTATCTGGCGTGGGCGCTGGGGGTCTGGCGAGAAGAGAAAGGGAGATGCGTGGTGATTTTTGGTGTTTGCAGAAGAAGAAGAAGAAGGTAGATGGGTGCGAACGAGGGAAGTAAAAAAAGGAAGTGGAAGGCGGGGCCGCTTGAGTCTTAGGCGTCACCGCTGCCCTTTTAGCATAGCCACCTGTGACTCGGGTGGGTCCGCTCAGTTTGAACTAAGAAATTCAAAAAGCGGCTTCGCCTGAGTCTTGGGCGAACGCGCTCTTTTACCTACACAAAAACACAATATTTGTCAATTCTTTTAAAACTGCCGTATTGATGATAAATTAAAAAAATAAAATTTTGAAAATTAACCCTTAATCAAGCTACTGTCATTCTGGCCGTAGTACTATTTGGTTAGTAAGTGGAGGGGTTTGTCTTTGGTAGGGTAGAAATCAGTATATTCTTGTATCAAATTCAAAATCTCAAATTTCAATAGCCTTCTAAATTTAATTTCAATCTCAAAATAAATTTGCAATTACATTCACAATCTATAATATTTTTGTTAGGTATGTGTATATACCAAATTGATTCCCTTCAAAATTACCGATCAAATATATAAAAACAAATACTTCTCATTTTCTAGCAGCTTCACAAACCTTTTTGAAAATTAAAAATATATAGAAGCAAACAGTGGTGCTAACACTCGTGCAAAGCAAATGAAAAAAAATCTCAAGTATAATAACAACAAACTAGACAAAATGCGGTGCTTGAGAAACATATTAACAAACTAAAGCAACAAACTGAAACATGAGACTATTATATAGCCAATAAATTAAACATACTATAAGTAACGAAATGAGCTTGGTCTGGATTTTAAAATAGTGAGAGAATGGACTATGTTAAATTAATTGGTGATTTGGGCAATTGAGGGTTTGTTAGCGGTGAGTTAGAGAGCCTAGTTGAGAGGGATAAAATACTCGCTATTTATATTTCAGTTTTGATCAGTATTTTGGTATACACTGATCTATCGTAATTTCTAATCCCAAATAAGTAAATAACACTTCAAATTCAATTATAATCCCATGAAATAATACCTATATTCATTAATATCATATATATATAAATAAATTCGATACCGTATTCCCATATATTAATATCAAACTTCTAGCCTTACTTAGCTTCTTGGTTTGCACTATTGATGTGTCAAGGAAGTGAAGTAACTAAAAGACTAGTATAATCCTTTCATTATTATATAAGAACTTCGAACTCGATCATAAAAAAAATACTACTAGAATTCTCCAAATAAAGAAAACCATGTAAAAACACTAGAATTCTAATCTCACTCATTTACCGAAAAGCGAAGTAGTTCCCTCCAAGCAAAAGAGAATTTGACGCGAAATTAACATACCGAAATCTAACAATAACTATATAGACATTCTACTTCAGCACCCTGTCAATTACATTTTTCCTGGCTCCTGCGTACAAAGCGGAAGGGCCCTTTGGTTAAATTGTAATTTTTTTAGTTGGCCTCTACAGAACGGAAGGGCCCATTATGTGCACCAGTAGATTGATTCCACCACCTCCTTGACAAATCACAACCCATCACCAGAAACACATCCAAAATGAATTGATAACTTGATACAATTAACCTACACAACTGGCCGATATAATTAATTGATATTCTTGCAATATAACGTTCATTTTGGGGTTTGCATTATTGTTTACTAATTGCATTTAAATATTAGAAACCATAAACAAAGTTTAAGTAATTAATTGCTTCTACTATTTAGACTAATATTTTTAGTGACTACATTTTTATTTTTAGTTTTATGACTCGGAGAAATATTCCCGTAGAGAATTATCTAAACAATCACATAGTGGTTCGATTTGATCGCAAAAAATTGAATATAAGTACAAATAATTATATTATATATCACAAAAATAATATACATCTTATGATTTAATGTTTTCTCATGTCACATGCGATTTAGGGAAAAAGAGAACCGTTTTTATGTCATTTAAAAGTGTGGTTGGTTCTTATCAATTTCTTTCGAGAACAACATAAATTTTTTATGGTACGAACATAGATGAACAATCAATAATTTATAATCTATATAACTATTGCACACTGCTTGATCTTACAAAATCATTGTTCTCCATTTTATATTTTCAGAAATAGATGTACATACCTCGGACTTGAATAGAATTTATCAATCATTAACTAAATTAGCATTCACAATAAAAAAAACTAAATTAGCAAGAAAACACATGTTTTTTTTATACAAGGCAAAAGGGTATATATGGATAAGTTCCAACATTCCATCTGGTAATTCATAGATTTATTATTATTATTATTATTATTATTATTATTATTATTTATAGGTTATCAAATTCAGTATAGGGTGCTAGGATTTCATATTTTACTGATTTATGTACAGAACTTCAAAATGAAATTAATAACTTAGAAGCAAAGAGAAACAGATTGTTAAATTTCATCAAACTTGCTGGATATCATTATAATCGTCTGCAAATGATGAGCTATGAAGAATTTCCAGGTTTATTAATATTTATAGTATTTGATGTTTCTTCATTTATTTTCATTTTAATTTTTTATCAAATTATAATCGTTATACTAGATTTGTTTTATTTTATTGCGGTGGTTGCAGTGTTTGATATTGGAAACTCATCTCATGTATGTGAATACTGTGGACCAATGATGTGGAAGGTGAAAGTACAAAACCCACAAGGAATTCCGATCAACCAAAGTTTTCATTGTGATGCAGACAAGTAAAAGAGAACCTCCTTTCCCGAAGATAATGTCCAGCTGTATATCATTATAATCGTCTGCAAATGATGCTCTATGAAGAATTTCCAGGTGATGTGGAAGGTGAAAGTACAAAATTCACAAGGAATTCCGATCAACCAAAGTTTTCATTGTGATGTAGACAAGTAAAATAGAGCATCCTTTCCCGAAGATAATGTCCAGAGGTTTTGAATATTCTGCAAGCAAACACTTCAACGAAGTGTCGCTTTTTTGGAACATATTCGAAGCTATATTATTAGGTTCATCGTGTTATATTTGCTCCGCATCATGAAATGGTACCGACAATAAATGTGATGGAAAGGTTTCCAGGTGATGAAGTTTGTTATCATAGTTTAGATTCAATAAAGGTTGATCCTACTAACCCGCATCACATAGAGAGAGATTATTCTATGGAGTTTCTCAATACACCAAAAGTTAGTAATTTGCCATACCATTCTTTTGGATTGAAGGTTGGATGCCCTTCATTTTATTGAGAAATATGGATAAGGATGATCATCAAGAGACTTGGCACATGATTTATTGAAGTGGAGATTCTAACAGGTTCTCATTATATTGGTGAAAGAGCCTTTCTACTTTGGATTAAATAGTCTTCTCATTACAAAAGTTTGGATTCACATTGGTTAAGCGACAATATCCTATTGCAGTTTGCTTTGCCGTGACAATTAACAAAAGTCAAGGCCATACTTTAAAACATGTCGGTCTTTACTTGAAAAACAAGTGTACTCTCGCGGCCAATTTTATATTGCATTATCACGAATTACAACGCACCATGGACCAAAGATTTTAAACTGCAATTCAAAGGTGAAGAATCGAGCGCACCATAGAACAAAGATTGTCTTTGAGGAATTTGTTTTACTAATATTGCAAAACTAGATACAAATTACTTTCGGGAAGACGGTTGATATTTATGATAGTTTTTAATTCATTTACTTCCATCAGAATTAAATTTGAGTTTAGATCATAATTTGTTTGTTATACATCAGTAGGTCTCCACACATTGAACCTTTTAAATGAACCAAGTCTCAAATAAATTTTGAAAATGGTCAACCTTTTAAATTTCGCCGTCAGAATTATATATTACTACATCGCTAATCCAACAAATGAGTACACCATTATCATGATAGGAAAGGATGAGCAAGAGCAGGACACATGTGATCTTTCTAACTTGATCGATGTAAATTCTAATTGCATGAAAATGATTCTCAATATTAATCACAAATTTGTGTTATTTTCTATTGGGTTTGGATTTTTATACCAAGATACTTAGTTATACTCTCTCTTTTTTTAAGACTTAGTTATACTCTTTAACATTTAGACAAATGCTTTAATTAATTGTATAATTTAAAATTTATTTTCCTTTATTTCCCACTTGCATGCCTACAATTGTATACTTGATTGCATTATAAGGTGTACACGTCTTCAATTTTAATACAATGCACAAACTTATGTCCTCAACTTTTAAACCATGTGCAAATGATACTTAGTTGTATTATTTAATCTATAAACAATGAATGTCATTTATAACTTAAAATTCCAGTAAAACTTTTCTTCTTTTAGCACTAACATGCAAGTAATTCTATCAAGTTACAATTTTATCTCCAACATATATTAAACACTTATGATTCGTTAAAACCATACCATATATTGTTCATTTGAATTTCATTATATTAATGCATAATGCTAATGCATGAGAACAAGAATTACAGTGCTGATGGCGGAGGTACTGAATCAGGCACTAGAGATGATGATGTTGAGAAGAAGAAAACATTGTTGATGTAGAAGATACAAAGACTGACTGGAATGGGAAGAACGAACAAATTCTTGATATTGTTCATAACTCGGATGAGGTAAATCCAACTCCAATGAAAAATATGTATTAAAAATATTTAACATAAATTTTATTCCTGAACAAAATAAAGAAAAAATGAAGAGATTATTGAAATGCAAGAGAAGAAGGAAGATGCATACATTATTGGCGGAGATGAAGACATTACTATTGGCAGCGATGACTATGTTAATATTTTTGAATGGCTGAACTATTTTAACAATTTGGATTCTTTCATTCTACCTATCAATTCAAATATTTCAAGTATTTAAATAATTTAATTTTTATTATACTACCAAAGAAACGCGTATCTCGAATACAAATTGTTATTGTTGTCTAAGTGATTAGAGACTGAATCCGGCCAACTGGCCGGGCCCGTAACTAGTAAAAACAAAACAAATTCCAACAAATTAACTTGCAAATCGCATTAGTGTGACATCACACGTACGTTGATTAAATTCAAGTAGTACGTACTTCCTTCCAATCGCAAAAAATCCTAATCCTAATCAACTAACTAATAATCTTCACATCAGTTGACTAAAAAAATAATAAAAAATTAACCAGTAATCATATCCGTGATTTCTAATACATTATCGAAAATTATTACCACACACAAATTATAATAATCATAATTATTACTCTAGTAGTACTTTTCCTTTACGGTTTTGGAACAAAGAATTCTACAGCCATGGAGGATAGCTAGGTGAGGTACTTTAACTTAACTACTTAGGTCGCTACCTATAAAGCTCTCCCAGCCTCAACTAATGGCTATATGGAGATGCTAATAATATGGTCACCGTGAACGAGAAACCACCGCCACCTAACTAGCTAGTTTTTACTACTGCCTACGCAACATGGCGGCGAGTACCGCCGCGGAGATCACCGCCAGTGCCAAGAAACGGCGCCGCTCGACTAACCACGGCCGCAACAAGAAAGTGCTAGTTCTGAGGGAACTCCCACTTTTCCCTCTCGCTCCCGGCGACCTCAAGCAGTCCCAATCGCCCGACGCCGGCGATCTGAACAACGTCCAGCTCGACGACGCGTCATTAATGCTCCGCTTGGGCATTCCTAATGATGATCAGCCGAATATGATGATGATGGCCGGGTACGTATATGGTAGTATATATCTAACTAACCTATATTTGTGAAACCGTACCAGAAGTTATATCGGAAAAGTTAGTGATAGCGTATTTTGTATTAAAATCGTGGTTCGACCGTTTTGTATCAAATATAGTCAAAATCGCGCTTTAAAACTTATGTTATTATACACTTCTAGGTCACCAAAAAATGTTTTGCTGACATGAAAGCGTAAAAATGTAAGTTTTTAAGGTTTAAAGCGTAGATTTTGACTCATCTGTAAGTGACAAGTGCGAAAAGTTAGTGGTATGACATTTGTACTAAAATCATCGTTTCGACATTGTTCAGCCGTTTTGTATTCAATGTAGTAAAAATCGTGCTTTAAAAATTAAAATGTTATGTTTTTATACACTTCTAGATATAAAATGTTTTGTATTCAATGCTTTTACATAGAATCGCGCTTGTCACTTTTAAAATCAATGCTTTAAAACTTGCGTTTTTACACTTATAGGTCACAAAAACGTTTTTACATAGAATCGCTATTTCAAACTGCATTATTTGTACCTTTAAAACAACCTACTGTTTAGGATTCTAGTATCCGGTAAGTTAGGGTTTCTCAAACAATGTAACTAACTCGGTGCATGCATGCATTAACTCATTCAATTTCCCTACGTGATCAGGCACGAGGAGGAGGAGGAGGTGGTGTGGAGGATAAGGAAGGTGTTGACGAAGAGCGACACCAACGACTGCTCGAGGCTACTGATAGCCACCGATACGGCGCGGCAGCACGTGTTCCCCTACCTGGCCCCGGCGGAGGCGGAGAAGGTGGAGAGCGGCGGGCCGAAGGGGGACGGGGCGGCGGACGTGGTGGTTTGGGACGGGGACACGGGCTCGGAGCACCGGCTGCAGTTCCGGAGGTGGAACTCCAGCGGGTGCTACGTGTTCAACAATGAGTGGCAGGGAGGGTTCGTGCGGAGGAGGCAGCTGGAGGAAGGCGACGAGGTCGGTCTCTACTTTGACGGCCGACGCCGGCGATTTGTCTTCTCCGTCCTTAACCGGGCGGCGAACCGTAATTAATTACGTGTTGATTAATCTATTTGGGGATGTTTTAGTGCTAGGGTTTGGGGTGATTGAGGGGTAGTTACGTTCTGATGCGGTAATTCCCTGTGTTGTCAAATTGGTGGTTTCTTGGACCAATTTAGGGGTTTAGGGTTTCTGTTTGTTGTTAATGGTAATCTATATTTTTTTTTTTTTTTTACAAATGATGAATAGTTTGTTACTGTGATTATGTGTTCACAGTAGATATGTGATGAAGAGCTTGTGATGTTGTTGTATGTTGTGTGGTGATCGTATTTGTGGGATGAAGAAATATGAACCGATGTTATTTGCGAACATGATATGTCCCTGTTTAATTATTAATTGAGTTAAAATTTAAGGAAATGATTATTTATTAACCAAATTTTTTTTGGATTTTTTTATTAACTAAAGCTTTTGAAATATTAAGAATTAGTCAAATGTTAACTTACAGTAAAAAATTTTGTTAGTAATTTGACTTGGCAACATGATACTGACTTGGAAGAGACACATGAAGGTCAACATCCAAAATTTTAGTATTTTAAATAAGAAAAGAGTTAAAAAAAATTATTAACGATAACGTAAAAATGGCTAATATTTTGATGCATTACGAAAGATTTGGCTAATTAATAGAATTTCAATAGGTTTGGATAATATAAAAGAATTTGAAAAAGGTTTGGATAAAAATTTTACATTACCCACAAATTTATAAGATACTTTTATCAGTTTTTTGCTTATTCTTCGTTTAATTGATTTAAAATTTTTAAAAATTGAACTTATACAATAGCCTTACAGGTAAAAGTTCACTTTACACCATAAAAGAATTTGTACATTTTTATGTTATGGTATAAGTTAAGTTTGTACCATTATATGAAGATACAAATTCAGTTTCTACCATAAAAAAAAATTAATGAAATTGCATAGATACGTACAAACTAAATTTGTACACTAACGTTGAAAGTACAAGTTCACTCTGTAACTTTGTACAATCAAGGTTTAACCAAAGCACCTAAAAATTCCTCATTGGTAACTACCTGATTCAATTAGTATTTTGATTGAAAGTAATGAATGTTGTTATTGTAAATAATTGTGAAGATTCGAGTCATTTTTTTATTTTGTGTTAAGACAAGAAAAATGCTATGTATGTTGTTTCACAGATATCACCTGGCTAAAAGTGAAGTACGCCGATTTTCCTTCACTTAATTAGCTCGTCTACATGTTCTTCAGTACACTTAGCTGCATAATCAAACACTTATAAGACATCATAAATAAACACCTACGTAAATTATCAACCAAGTCGTTGTAGTATAGTGGTAAGTATTCCCGCCTGTCACGCGGGTGACCCGGGTTCGATCCCCGGCAACGGCGCGTTTTTAAATTTTTATTGTAATAGTTCTTTCTTTTTACGCCACATAATGCTCGAGTCTGGTCAGACCAGGACAAACTGCAAACTTTCTCCCACATTGTAAAATACAAAACCCACGACGTAGTGAAATGCGACAAATTGAGCTGATTCTGTCAAATACAGACAAACAAAATCCAGAGGAAGAACCAAATCCAGAACCGACAAATAATATGTGATTACTTTTAGATTCCATGCCATATAAACAACTGCTACTCGACAACTTCCAAATCTCATGCACGTTACCACAATCAATCCGGCGGGAGGAGGCAATGAATGAAAGAGCCAAAACAGACTGACAGGCAAATGAATCAGCAGCAAGCAAGCAAGCACTTCTAGAATCTCAATGGTCTCGTTATATTTGTTTGAAGAACCTAACAAGGAAGAAAAAGTTGCAGAAAGAACTCCTTGCAGCAGCTTTAGAGAGATTTAATATAATACAGCCCTCAATAGTACATTAAGAATTAAAATCCTCTATCCCACTCTCTAAACTGTACTTCATTCCCTGCTCTATTTTCTCGAGCTACACACTTTATGCACAGTATTTGTGTTTCCTATCTCTAACTCTCTACTCTAAACCAATGGCTTCCAAGAAACAAAAAAGGGGGAAAGATCAAAACGTTCGACTGTACATCTTACAACACCATTCTCCTCCTTTGTCACCACCCGGTCAACGGAAGTATGATCCTTGGTGTCAACAATCAATGCCCTCTTCTCTTGCTTCATTTGTGCGGTGATCTCCGGTTGAGCCTACTACACACGAGAAAATGGAGATATTGGAGGCTTGAGCTTGTAAGACTGCTGCTTTTTTCCAGTTTCTTACAGGGTTTCTTCTTCTCTTCCTCGGTCACAGCGTCAATCAAGAACTTGACCTCTTCCTCTATCATTACCTTCAGCGAGTTGCAATGTGGCAGCATCGGCTTCTTCTTGCTTCTGCTATCTCCAACTGCACTTGCAGCTTCTGAGCCGTGCAGCATGGCAACACAGATGGAAAATGCCTGCAAAGTGGATAGCTTTGCATGGAAATCGATTTCATACTCGCCTTCTTCCAATGCTCTCATAATAAGTGTTGGTATCTTCTCTTTCGTCCCCTGCAACACAACATTCAGAAAGATCTTATAGCCAACGGCAGAAGTGAAAGACTAAAAGAAACTCTGATAATAGCTGGAACTGTTAAGGATGAACTAGTCTGATAACTAAATTCCTTAGAAATAAGAAATTTAACTGCAAAAATTTCCAGTTACCAATAGATGATTTTTTACCTGAATAAAGAGCTCCAACGGCTTCTGCCTATCGACAAGAGGTTCATCTTCACCACATTGGATGTCAGGGTTTCCAAAAACATTGAGGGGACAAGCCATACCCCACCCCCCACAATCACATCCCCCACCTGATCTCCACCGGTCGAGCAACGAACAAGGTCCCCGGCTTTCTGCATCACTTGGCAAACTGTGATTTCCAATTGGAATTACCACCTTAACCTTTTCTGTACTTTCCCTATCAGGGCTTTCCTTTGCACTTCGCTCAGCCATGGAGAGGTTCAGCAGGTTCAAATGCACTTTCTTCCTGCTGTTGTAACCTCTCTTGTACTTCAAGCTTTCCCTCTTGGCAAAAGGGATTTGAATAACAATTGCTGCAATCTCAAGGTCAGGCTGCAAACCAACAGATATGTTGTTAGGACAACTGTTATGACTCGGGGTAGCTGAACCATCATCCGAGCCATGATGCATCCCACCATCCAAACAAGGGAAGGAGCCACTGCTACTAGATTTGTTGACATCAGGGGAGCCTTATGAAGAAACACTGTTTCTCGCATGTTTAATGTCGTACAACACAAATTCAGTCACCATTGAGTTATCTGAAAGGGGGCAATCTTGTACCTCATAATGCAAATATGAGGAGACGTGCATCTGCCCTGCTACTACCATGGACTCCTTGCTCTCGTTGGCCCCACCTCGTCCACTCACGTTGCTCCTTTTTCTATTGCAAATGAAGTGGAAAGTGTAAACCCACTTGGAAGCATTGTTTACTTTCCAAGTCTTTGCCACAAGAACTTCCTCGGGGGAAGACAACGAGAACTCGAAGTACGGGATCTTGTTTTTATTCTTCCACTTGAGACTGCCATGTAGGTGAACTGCTGAATTTGCAACATTTGATGAATGATGATTCTGCTGAGAAGTATGTGAGAATTCATGTAATAAAGACTTCCTTAGGAGCTCATTCCTTCTCATGGATGCCACAGTACTATTTGCTTTAGGATGATCACTTGGATCAGGAGCATTGCTCAATGGACTGCGCAGAGACTTGGACTTCATGAACGGATCAAACATCTTTCTAATTGGTACGAATCTCGAATTCGAAGTGCCACTAGTGGAGCAATCACTCTCGGAAGCAGAAGAAGGTGAATGAGGCATTTCTAGCTTAGCACATAGTGTTTTGTGAAACGTTGGCGCATCTCTTTCAAGGAGGTAATTAGCATTATTCTGAGGACCAGCTACATTATCACTCCTCAAGCCTTGACTCTCACTTCTCAAATGACTTCTTCCAACAGTTCCAGCATCTTGACGCTCTCTGACATCCAAATTTGGACAAATTTCGATGAATGCATCAGCTGGTGGACAAGGACGATCCAAACGAGGCCTTTGACCAGAAATCAGGTTCAATTTCGCATCTAAAGCTGACGAAGGATGCACCTTCCGAGCATCATCTTCATCTGAGCTACTCGAAGACTCAACAACATCCAAGGAGAACGAAGTGTGGCTGCCACATGACAATTCGATTTTCCTACGTCCTGCATTATAAGAAGAAGACTCCATTTTCTTCAGTCGCATTACATCGCTAGAGCTTTGATACATGGAACCTCGCTTCAGGTCGACGCTAGGTACTAGTACTCCAGAAGGCCTAGAAGATTGTACATTCTTACAAGAGGTACTTCGATAACGACGGAAGCTTATCTCTGTGAAGCCTTCCTTTACCCTCAAGAAATTATCTTTACGCGTGAGATTCTGATGGTGGGCAGTTTTGTTATCGGCATCAGAACAATGTCTGAGTGGAAGGACTGTGTTAGGACTCAGATACGAAGTACTACTCTTCAACTTGAATTCCAACTCCTTTTCTAGTCCCATTGCTAGATTTGGGATCCTGCCAAAGGTGAACAAGAATATTGCAAGCAATTCAATTGTTGAAACTTGAAAGACAACACCCACTGAATTAATCTCCAAAGTGTTTACTAATAGTAGCAGCTCCATATGGTCGAACACCAAAGCTACACAACATTAACATGAGAATTTGAGCAATTGCGAAATTGAAAGGGAACCCCATTAGACTTCAAACCAGAGAAACAGAGTTAATAGCAATCCAATCAAGACACCAACACAAGGAAAGGAGAAAAGGAGGGGTAGAAAACAAGCTCAATATCAAACACCTGGTTAAAGCTATAATAAGGGATGTGTGGCAGTTCATCCCCCAAGAAAGAAAGCTCACCATGCATCCCCCAAAAAATAAAGCTCACCATCATCAATGATTTCGAGCTTTGAGATCAGAAGCTAAAGAAGAAAAAGGCTCAGCGAAAACCCAGCATTTGATCCCTACGGAACTGCAA